CCCCCTCAAGTCACCTCTCGAGTTCCCCCTCAAGTCACCTCTCGAGTTCCCCCTCAAGTCACCTTTCGAGTTCCCTCTCAAGTCTCCTCTCGTGTCCTCTCTCATGCCCCCTCTCGAGTTCCCTCTCAAGCCTCCTTTCAAGTCACCTCTCAAGTTCCCCCTCAAGTCACCTCTCGAGTTCCCCCTCAAGTCACCTCTCGAGTTCCCCCTCAAGTCACCTTTCGAGTTCCCTCTCAAGTCTCCTCTCGTGTGCTCTCTCATGCCCCCTCTCGAGTTCCCTCTCAAGCCTCCTTTCAAGTCACCTCTCAAGTTCCCCCTCAAGTCACCTCTTGAGTTCCCTCTCAAGTCTCCTCTCGAGTCCCCTCTCAAGTCCCCTCTCAAGTCACCTCTCGAGTTCCCTCTCAAGCCTCCTTTCAAGTCACTTCTCGAGTTCCCTCTCAAGTCACCTCTCGAGTTCCCTCTCAAGTCTCCTCTCGAGCCCTCTCTTGAGTCACCTCTCGAGTGCCCTCTCAAGTCCCTTCTCGAGTCCCTACTCGAGTCCCTTCTCTTGTCCCTACTCAAGTCCCTACTCAAGTCCCTACTCAAGTGCCGTTGGAGGTCCCGCCAACTCCATGTCCTGTCCCGCCTACTGCTCTTCTGCCGGGGGTCCTGCCAACCCTGTGTCCTGTGCCGATAGAGGCCCCGCCGACTACTCTTCTGCCGGGGGTCCTGCCAATTCCATGTCCTGTTCCGTTGGGGGTCCCGCCAACGACTCTTCTGCCGGGGGTCCTGCCAACCCCATATCCTGTCCCGTTGGAGGTCCCGCCGACTACTCTCCTGCCGGGGGTCCTGCCAACCCTATGTCCTGTGCCGTTGGAGGTTCCGCTGGGGGCCTGCCAGCTCCATGTCCAGTCCCGTTGGAGGTCCTGTCGACTACTCTCCTACCGGGGGTCCTGCCAACCCTATGTCCTGTCCCGTTGGGGGTCCCGCCGACTACTCTTCTGCCGGGGGTCCCGCCAATTCCGTGTCCTTTCCCGTTGGGGGTCCCGCCGACTGCTCTCCTGCCGGGGGTCCTCCCGGCCCTGTGTCCTGTCCCGTTGGGGGTCCCGCCGACTACTCTCCTGCCGGGGGTCCTGCCAATCCTATGTCCTGTTCCTCTGGGGGTCCCGCCGTCGACTCTTCTGCCGGGGGTCCTGCCAACCCCTTGTCCTGTTCCGTTGGAGGCCCCGCCATCACCTGTCTCGCCGGGGTTCCTGCCAACTCCTGGTCCTCTTCCGTGGGGGATCCTGCCGAAGCCTGTCCCACCGGCTCCGGTTCCTGTTCGGCCGACACCGGGTCCTGCCCGGCTTCCGGAGCTGTTGGCCTTTGCCCCACCTTGGACTTTGCCCCGGGCCGTCCGCCCGAGTCCCCCTTTTTGAACTCTGCCTTGCCCCCGGGCCGTCCGCCCAAGACCCCATCCTTGATCTCTGCTTTGCCCCCGGGCCGTCCGCCCGAGACCCCTTCCGGGTCCTCCGCTGTGCCCCTGGGCTGTCAGCCCAAGCCCGTCCTCCAGACCCCCTGCACCCACCCTGTTGGCCCTAGTTTTTCTGTTAGTCTTTGTGAGTTCCTTGTTTTTTTGGACTGTGTTCACTGGGAAGAGTTCTGTCTGTAGCCTTGAAATAAAGGTATTTTCTTTTAATCTGCATTTGGGTCCTGCTTGCCTCTCTCAACCCTGACAACTTGAGTACTAGTAGTTAGTTACTCTTCAACACTGAAGCTGATGAATGGAAGTCCAATATTCACCAGTCTTTTAGCTCTGTCAGTTTGATTTCTAACACATTAGAGATGATAGCCTTTAACTTGAATATACATTAAGGCTCTGATTGTACTGCCATCTAGGGGTCAGAGCTTTCTCACAATTGATTCTGATGGGGGTGAGATACAACTTGGCAAATGCAATCCATCAGCCATGTGTACATTTTAGTGTTCAGTTTATTTTGACAGTGTCAGAGATTTGTTGGAGCCCTGAGAGTCAAGTCATAACAGTTTTCTCCATGTGTTTAGTAAAAAAAAGTGTGTTACTATAATCTTTCTATGTTCCTTTTTCCAGGTTTAATTATACAGCGAAAAATGGTCTGCCCAATTTAGAAATTGAAGTAGTGGAGCTTTTACGGAGGAAAAACCCTTTATCTATATTTGCTATTTCCAACACTTCTTTGCTAAACTTGCAGTAACCCTCCCTTTCTCCTCTCTCTGTGTTTAAATATGCAACCCAAACTCTACTCTTCGTCTTTCACTCTGCTGACTGTATGCTCTCTGTATGACAGACTGAACTTTCTTGCAAGAAATACAATACGACAAAGACAGCTGAATGGTTTGATTCTCTATCCACATTTGATAAATAAGTTCCCGCCACAGTTACCTATGATTTTCCATGTGTAATCGTTTTTTTCACCTATAGGCAAAAAAAACGTTTTTGATCAATTTAGATATGCATTACAAGATTGATTTCCCACTTGAATGTCAGTGCTTCCATAGAGAGGAGTTTATACAACTCTATGCATGTGTTGTAAAGGTGTTTCCATTTTTGCGTTGTGAATCCCACATGAAATGAACAAACAAATGATGTCTGACCTCACTTTAAGGCTCTTCACGTGTTGCACAGTGAAAGCGCTGCCTGGCTTTAGTGGGAGGCCCCCCAGCTGCAGAGCTCCATGCTGCGGGTCCCTCTGAAGCACCACCTGCAGGGCTTCCTCCAAAGAGTCCACGTCTGACAGCCGCAGATGTTCAGGCCCGATCCAGCCATCCCCTCCCTCATCTACTGTCAGAGAGTTGGTAATAACCTACAACAGAACGTATCCACACTTTTTCTAGATATTCAAACATATCGATGTAAGAAATGAGGAACACATACAATACATAGAATATTCTTCCTCACCTGTGGCGGCTGGTTGTCCACTGGCACCACAGTGATGTTAAAGCAGATCCCAGTGACTGTTTTGCCCAGGTGGTTGGTGACAGAGAGAACAAATTGTACATACTGAGGGTAAGGGCCAATGTCCATGACTGGAGGCATGTAGGCCACTTTCATGAAGTTCACTGCATGCTGGAAAAAACATAAAAATAAAGATTTATTTGGATGAGTCTCACTAAATGTACCTATAATGTATTCGTAAACAAATAACTAAAATGTGTACCTGTGTGAAGAGCCTCAGCACTGGTGCGTTGGAGTCTTTGGAGAACTTGGGTATACTGTCGACTAAAAACAACCTCCCAGCATCAGGACTGCTGCTCATGAAGACAACAGAATGTAAATTACACAAAAGGTTTTCACGCTGGTTTCCCTTGTAATTTTCAGAAGGTGAGGACATACTAACCTGTGAGGACCAGTGAAGAAAGGCGGAGTTGTAACCGTAAAAGTGAGCTCACTGTCTGGAGACTCCTGGTCTACAAAGTGCAGCTGTTGCCGTGTTATATGGACCACTTCTGTTTCTTTGATCACAAGACAGCGACTGGAACCAGGAACCTCTTTGGGTGGTTGGTCTGGAACAGGCTCTATGTGCACCATCACCACCTGCACCGCATGAAACCATAATAGATCACTGGATCCAAAATCAATCAATACTGTAATGCAATTTAATAGTAATACTAAAAATCCTAGACCAAAGCTGTTTTTTCCAATGGATTTTTTCATTACCTCTTTTTTAGCCATGCTAGTGTTATAATAGTAGGGTCAAGCAAAGTAAGGGCGCCTATCCATTCAAGAGAGAGAGAGGGTGGTACGTGTGTGGTGAGAGTGATGGAGTATATACTGTATATGGAAGTGAACGGGACTAGCAGAAGCTATCAATCTGTAAACAAAGTTAGCTAAATTGCAAATAAATACATTGGCCTCCGAAGATAAAGCTTGACTGTCTGCCTCATTGAGTGTGTTATTTAACCCCTGGACGACTATCCCCACCAGTGTTGTAAGAAGCACTTAGATCTTATACTTAAGTAAAGGTTATACTGTGTAGAAAAAATTTGGTACAAGTAAAAGTTCTGCATTCAAAATGGTATACTTATGTATGACATCTAAAAGTACTTGTTATATTGGTTAAGGATCAAATAACTTTAATTACTTGTTATACTGTCAGGTTCCATCATCAATAATAGTATCATAATGGATTAGTTGATTACATTTTTTTATTAATGATAACTAATCTTGTCAAATAAATGTAGGTGAGTAAAAAATACAACATTTGCTGCTAAAATGTAGTGGTACAAAGTAGCATACATTGAACATACAAGTACAAGTATCTCATACATGTACTTAAGTACAGTACTGCAGTATTTGTACTTAGTTACTTTCCAGCACTGTCTGTTACCCACTTGAGGCTCTGACAGGTTGGGAGGGTCATGGAAATCTGACAGCACCACCTCAAAGGAGTCATCAAACACCTCGTTTCCTAGGTGACGATAGTAAACCATGGACTGAGACAGGTCTTTCTGCAGAAAGTGGCTGACAGGATAACCTGGGTTAAAAACAATGAAAACATGACCTGGTTAGGAAACAGAAACAAACCCCATGTAGGGTAAATAGTGAAACAATCCATCTTCTGACCTGTGAGACCTGTTGGGGGCATCTTCATGACTTCTCCTGCCTGTGGGGGACGGGTGATGTTAAACAGGATGTAGTCGTCGCTGGAGTCCATGTCTGAGGCCTGGAGGGTGGAGCCTCTGAGCAGAGCCAGCTGGCCCTCAGACACCTCCAGCAGCATGTTGGTGATGAGGAACGGAGGGCTGTCGTCCTTCGGCAGGATCTTGATCGGGAATTTGTGTCGAGTCTGATGGAGGCCGTCAGTGATGCGGAAGATGATGAAGTCTTTGGTAGAGTCGCTGTCATCGTGGTGATAGCGAACCAAGCCCGCTTTGAGGTCATTGACAGTGAACATGAAGCCCTTTCCCCCTGGATTTTAAATGAAACAACCAAATAAAACTACTTGATGGCTTTCCACTACTTATTTGTACAATCGACTCCCATCTTTAAATCGTAAACCTTGTCACTTTTGTTGAGCAGTTTATACTAGCACTGAGCAGGATTGTATAAAGTGGAATGTGCAATACAGCTGACTTTTCTGGATTCTTCTGGAGCGGTGGGCACTGTCATGGTCTCGTATAGGTGAATGACATAAACATGTTGGTTTCGTGAAAGTTGAAGTCAAACAGACAAAATATTCTCTCCCCTTTTCTCCTAATCCATCTATATAAAATCCTGTCTGAAAATGAATTAATGAGATTTGGCCATTTTGTGATGTCACTAAGTTTATTGGGTTGTGTAACCACCAGCTAATAACCAACCAGGGTAACACTAGAGCACCATTGTGTTCTTTTTAACCAAAAATTGCTCAGAGGGGCGTGGCCAGCAGCAGCTCATTAGCATTTAAAGCTACAGACACAGAATCAGCACTTTTGGAACAGGGCTGAAACAGAGGGGTTTATGGCATACTACATTACATTACATTACATATCATTTAGCTGACGCTGTTTTCCAAAGTGACTGACAATAAGTGAAAAAACAATAAAGAAACAAACACCGAACAACAAGGAAAGTACAGATATAATAATCGAATTTAATCACTTCAAGCAAGATCATACCATATTAAGTGCTGGTGAATCAGTTATAAGACCTGAATAAACTCAACAAGTGGTTCTTTTTTTTTTTTCAGCAATAACTTAATTGCCAAGGTACACTCGAAATAGATATGCAGAGTTTCTGCTGTCCTGATGTCAATGGAGAGCTCGTTCCAACATTTAGGAGCCAGGATAGCAAACAGGCGTGTTTTTGAGGGTACCTGGGTCCCACTCGCAGTGATGGAGTAGCAAGCCGATTGGCTCACGCAGCTACATGCTACAATGCATGATCTGTTGGGTATTTGGTAAAATAAAGGAGCACACTTTGAATCCTCATGCTTTATTCCACTTATTGTAAGTTGCTTTGGACAACAGCGTCAGCTAAATGCAATGTTATGTAATGTATTTCAAGCCAAACACTTTAGAGATGTTGTGCGTATATCTGAGAACTACAATATAGTGTTGAAAAAGAGTATAATAAGGGACCTTTAAATGCTGTGAAAAGACTGGATATGACTTGGTTAATTAACAATATAATCATGCCATTGTTCAAACCTTGTCACTGTTATTTTATAGTTAAAGGCACCGTGCCTGCTGATGCATCAACTCATATTATATATATTGACAAATCTGCAACATACACAGACAGATTCTCAGAGGAATGTACTTTAACTTTGGCCTTATATGAGTTTTTTCTGTGTCCACTGGCAGTCATGTTCATACCTCTGACAGTGAGCCGTCCGTGCTGCAGGCCGTCCACAGTGATGATACGAACAGCCTTTATGTTATCGTTGTCCACAATCTGGAACTGATCCCACATGATTGGTCGAGACTGACCCTCCAACAGACTGAGGCCTAAAAAAAGAAACAACTTAATTTCTTCAATGCATTTGAAAGACCTTTGTGTGTTTTTAAGGTGACGATGCTAACATACCCATGTTCCAGGACACTCTGGGTGCATTCGTATCTGCATTCCTAACAGACATGTGAACCGTCATTGATGGGCTCTTCTCAAAGAAAAAATCATGAACCTCCAATTCCACCTATATGGGAGGAGTACAACGATTTTCAGAAACCATTGACTAAACCAATCTACATTTTGTATAAGAAAGGTAAATACTACCTCGTAATTCCTGCGCTGGGTATGTGAGGAATTGGGAGGTTGATAACCAATGAGCATGTCGTTGAGATCGAGCCATGTGAAGGAGGAGATTGGGCGAGTGTGATCGGAAAGATGGGTGATGAAACCGTCCACAGGCGGTTTAGTGATGTTGAAAACTAGAAGCTGTTGGGGAGTTTCCTCGTCCTCAGAGTCGAGAGTAGCAGTGGAGAGCGGAGTGAGGATGAACTGATCCACCTCCAAGATAAACATGGACACGAAGGACGGCTTGGGAGGCTGGTTGGGAGTCGCACCAACAACCCGGACTGGAATCCAGACCTGTTCAGACTTCACAAAGAAAGCAAACCAACCAGAACTTATAATACATATTTCTTATGTAGGGTCTTCAGTGTCAACAATTGAAAAGCTCCGGCTAAATACTATAAAGCTGTGGGCATAAAAAATATCAAATAGAAAGTTAAAGTTTGTTACAAGTGATTAAAGTAATTTGTGCTGACATTCAACCAGAGGTACTCAAAAGTAGCAATACTAAAGTGTAAACAATCTACTTAAGTAGAAGCAAAATAATATAAGCATCAAAATATACTCTAAGTACTCAAAGTAGAAGTACTCGTTATGTAGAAGGGCACATTCAAACATCAGGTATATAATATTAATTATTTTGTTGAAGTGACTGGTGCAATAATGTGTTAATGATTTGAATTTTGTACTTGAGAAAGGTGGGGATTATTGAGATGAATGTATACACTACCATTATGCTCAATCTAAAATAACATATGATAATGCATGGGTCAATTTATATTTTGTATCAACCTAAATCTGCAAAGTTACTAATAACTAAATATCTCAAATAAATCTAGTGCAGTAGAAAGTACAACATTTGCCAAAAATATTTAGTGAAGAACGGTACTCAAGTAAAGTACAACTACCTCAATCTTTTTTCTTAAGTAAAGTACTTGAGTAAATGTACTTGGTTACATTACACCACTGCATTCAAAAAAAGTTTGAAGCAAAAATGTGACACTGTAAACCCAAAATATTGCTTTTGCCTTATAAGACCTGAAAAAATACACTCATGTAGAATCCAAGTGCTAGTGGTAGTAAAATACAAAATTGTAGTAGAAAGGAATATAAAAGTTGTTTTATCAAAACAAAAAGCCAAACTACCTGATATATGCTGCCGCTCCTGAGGTCCTTCAGGTCCAGTCTGATTGCGATGTAGTCCACGTCTGGAGATGGAGGGTCTATGTGCTGATACCTCAGCCCCATCATCAGGAAGTCATCACATGGAATCTTTGTGAATTTGACCAGCTTCAGACCCTTCAGGCAGTCCTCAGATTTACACAATGCTCTGGCTTTATTTTCTGAAAACACAATCCAAGAGGATTCTTATTCTTCTTTTATCTTCACTTATCACAGCCAATTCACCAAAGGCTCACTCAACTGATTCCACACTTACCCAAAGGGATAAACCAAACTTTCCAAACCAAGCTATCTTTTTATCAGTAGTTGGGTGGGTGCATATCATTACTTTCTTTATTCTATTGCAATTTGTATGCATCTTATTCTTCTCAGACAAACGTTCATACTTGAGCATCTTACTCGCTTTACAGTTTACAAATACAATAGGTGTGTCATCAAATCAAATCAAGTTTTAAGTGTAGATTTAAAAACCCCTAGGGTCTGGGCCGACCTCACATGGAGGGTCAGAGTGTTCCAGAGCCTAGGGCCAGCTGCTGCGAAGGCTCGGTGCCCTCGGTTTTTGAGCCTGGTCTTGGGCACTACCAGCAGCAGCTGATCAGCCGACCTTAAAGCTCTGGCTGTGGTATAGCGACGGCTGAGTTCTGCTAAATAAGCCGGAGCCAGCCCATTTAGTGCTTTAAAAACAAATAAAAGGAGTTCAAAATCAATTCGGAACCAAATTGGAAGCCAGTCTAATTGACGCCTGGTCCATACCCACATACAGAGCGTTGCAGTAATCCAGTCTCGAGGTAACAAAGGCGTTAATAATAACCCTTTCTAGGTCTTTAAAAGATAAAAACAACTTGGTCTTGGCCAATAGTCGTATTTAAAAAAAGCAGATCTTGACTACGGTGCTGACCTGCTTATCAAATTTAAAAGTGCTGGTGAAGGTCACTCCAAGGTTCATGACAGAGGGGAGAATGTTTTTATTGAGGGAGCCCAGAATTGCAACCGGGGAGTCATGTCAGTAACATATGGACTGAACATATTTTAACTAGGATATTTAATATAAACAGACATGTATGGCATCGTAATAATATAATAGAAGTTAAAGTCACATATGATTTTGCAGATAGGGGATTTATTGTTTGATTTTCTACATCTACAGGATAATGCTTAGTTTAATGTTACAACAATTTAGGACTTAAAGTACAAATAATACATGATAACACCCTTACTAAGCAGCTATTATTTCTGAATCAAATAGAAATAAGGCATTTGTAAACTATTACTTTTACTACATTTGTTTTAAATTGCATTACATATGATATTAGGGTAATCCAAAAACAATGGAAAGTAATCAGGTTACATTACTTTTATGTTTTGATCGTCAGATTAGGTTACTGATGGCATTTTTTGACATTGAATTGTTCTGTAACAGATTGCATTATTAATGTAACCCCACTAAACCTGCTGAAAAATAAGATCTGTGGAAAACTAACCTGTTTGATAAATGCACGTTTTGTTCAGCCGGATAATCTCCACATGTCTACCCTACTTTTATCATTTTCAAATCATAATTTTAATCTGATATATGATCGATAGATTTATGATTCAAAAATTATTTTACAATATTCCAAAATCCTATGGAGAAATCCCATTGCTTTTTTGTCGAGGGAACCCATGCGCGGCCGGGTCGGCCTACACATATACGTCATCACGTCATCACTGCACCAGCTGTTATTTCTGAATCAAGTTAATTTTTTAATTGTGTATTTTCTTTCTATCGATGGATGAAGTTAGCATATGTTACCTAGCTGCTGGCGGAGGTGGATGAAGCTCTCCGGCTCGTCCCCTCTTACAGTAGCTCTCTCTGGCTCTCCGGTCACCAGCTGTCCGTGGGCTGGCAGGTGGGTGTCATAGTTACTCATATGGACAGTACACTCCAGGCTGGACCTCTTCTCATAGTGGAAGGACACCACATTGCCATCCACAGCATCAGAGAGGCTGTAGAACTCAGGAACCTCCAAGAACTTTGGCCCCAGCTTTATGATGCTGCAATCAGGTTCAATAATGTCCACATGGAGAGAAAACACCTCCATGTAGGTCTCTGTCTCTGTGAACCTGGTCAAAATAAAAACACATGGTCAGGAACATGAAATAAAGATATATAATATATGATAATATGTTTCCCATTTGAAGGACAGCCTACCTGTACAGGCGCAGCTTCACATCGTCCTCCTTTAACAATGGACAGCCATTATGGACATACTTCACCTCATCAGCCAGATAGTGGCAATCAAATACCTGCACAAATAAAGGGAGACATTTTAATGTAATGAGTAACTCGGCTACTATTATATGCAAACTTACAGGGCATAGCTAAATTAACTGTTTACATTTCACAAAATATTGTAGATAGTGGTGGAATGTAACTATGTACATGTACAATTTGGAGGTACTTGTCAATTCTGCTACTTTATGCTTTTATATAACTACAATTAGGAGGAATTGTTTTTACTTTTTACTCCCCTAATCCATTTTACAAATGTAGTTACTAGTCAGAATAAACAATCAACCAACAAATCACTATGTTTTATTATAGGTTAAGCTACCCAGCAGTATATCAAGTAATTTAAATAATCCACACCTTGACCAAGTTCATTGACATTAATGCATTCATTATTATAATTTGTACTTGAAGTATATTTTGTTGCCACAACTTTTGTTTTGAATACAGGACCTTTAATTGTAACAGAGTATGTTCACAATGTAGTACTGCTACTTATACTTAAGTAAAGGTCTGAGTACTTGTGTGTAACTCTGATAATGCTTATTTTTGATGAGAATTACATATTTACCACATGGTAACAATAAATACCACTTCATCTGCCAAGGAACAATTAAATAGCAAAACAGATATTAAAGTAACAATGTATTACAGGTCAGTCATTTTGAAATACCGGTACTCCCTCTATACTCCGTAACCTTTTATAGCGTTTTCTTTCTGTACTTACTGAGGAAATAGAGACAGTGTTAACTAATTTAATTCAATATCATTTAAAATTGTTAATTGCAATCAATTGCTAGCATAACATAAACAGTATTCTAGTCAGAACACATTAGGTCCAAAGAACATGAAATGTGTCATTTCCACCAGCAAGAACACAATTCAATATATTTACAGTACACAGTTTTCAATGTTCTGAATTAAAAGGCTTATTGGCAGATGATGACCTGATAAAATGTTAATAACAAACTGTCTCAAATCATACTAACAGTTGAATTCAACAGTGTACATGAATTGTCTCTTCCTCATAACTAAACTCATGATTCATGTCCCTTTGTTGTGTGCATACTAATGGCATGATTCAACTTAAATACTTAACTTTTTTCCTTTTAGCATGAACCATAACTCATTCCTGACATTCAACAGATCACTGTATCTGTCAGCATGGAGTCATTAGAGAGAAGACTGCCTGGCCTCCACAGGTCTCAATAAAAGACTTGAGATATGGAAATATATCTCCAAGCCAGATGTGTAAGGGATAGAGAGACATAAACCCAAGTGTACAGAGAGCCTAACATTACTTAAACCATTAGGCTTTACACCTAAGGGACCTAGATGATCAACTTCTAAATGTAGAATATGATGATCTTTCTTGAATGACTATATTTAATGAATAATTTGTTGTTGAATAACCTCTGTGTTAGAGGGGGCCTGTTACACCTGCTACTAGGTCCATAAGGCAGTTATAATGTATTCACATGGTTGATAACTCTAGTGGCTATAGTAAATATGACCGGAGCAAAGTCAAGGGCAGTAGTTCAAAACTCAACACATTGATACCATTAAGTTAAGTGTAACAAACGTAGTTCATTCAATTCAAACCATCTTATCCTATCCAAGCTTTTTGTTGTTTTTTATAACAAAATAAATCAAATGAAAAAGGTAGGCTATTTAAAACTGGGATCGTCTTGTTTTCACGAAATGCAGGTAGGTTTGCTGATTACATTTCAAAACAGCTGGTCAATGAAATGTATAATATATTGCCAATGGAGCATGCAGTACCACCCAGCACTGAGCACTTGTTATCATCACCAAAGGACTAATCGTATATGACATGCTTTCCTACATGTTCGCAGTTTAACAGTGCTATGAAGCAAGCCTTCATCCTGATTATACAACACCTAGTAAATGGCCTGGAACTAACTGTGTTTTTATTGTAAACGTTTCTTTCCATTACCTGAGGCATGAGTGTTCCAACTCGTTGAGTTATGGGCTCATTTAACACCACCTCCACTTTGCAAGCATCCTTCTGACGGGGGATATGGAACTGCAGGTCACCGTCCTGGAGGAAGGCCGACTGACCTCGTTTCACCTTTAAACCTTTATTGACTTTCACAAGGGAACTGTGCGAGGAGCAGGTCAGTCCCAGCAGAAGAACTGGAAGCCAGGTCCAGGCCAGTGTTAGACCCCGTGAACCCATCGCTGTCCGTCACGTTCAAGGAGGAGCTCCAAACTGAAGCTTTCCCAAACACACAGTTAATTAAGTAAACCACGGTGTATTTCTCTTAAGAGGAGGCTTCATTTCCCTTTGGCTTAACCAGTTCACATGATCGGTCAGAAGCTGTAAAGTAATGAAAAGAGTTTCAGTCAAAGGCATCTTTAATTTGTATGAAAAACATCTATTTGACTCTCTATCGATTTTTTTTTTTAAATGGAGAGAATAACATTTCTTAAAGCAAATAATAAATAAAAGAAAAACAACATTTGAGGGGGCATGTACAAATCTTATGTATTTCATTTAATACATTAAAACACAAGATTCAGTAGTAAGTGACAATTAAAATATAATGGAATCATTTGCAGGAAAGCTATCGGACATTATGTATAGTTTTTAATCATTTTCAAAATGTCTCATTTATAGTTATCCCTTTTGGGTAAACAGACTTGTAGGCAGTAGTCGAGTTGAGGGGGGATGGGGGGGGATGGCATCCCCCTTAGGTATTAAAATGGTCAAAACCATCCCCCTTATGAAACGGCCATCCCCCCTTCCCATCCCCTGTTATTTGATCAATTAATGTGGAAATATTGCCAATGTTTAATTTTCAACATTCTACGTCCACATTATTTTAGCCGCTAAAATACTGTTGACGAGGGGTGCACATATCACGATCACGAAATTGATGTCAAGTCAGTCAGCGTCAACGATAGCAGCGCAGCCTGTGCAAGCATCATGGCCAGTAAGCGACAAGGACAGCTTGACCTGAGGGACTACTTCGGCTTTAAGAGGACAAAAAGTACCACTGAAGGTAAGTCAAGAATACTTTTGATATGTCACCAAATGTGTAATCTCTGGACAGAGGCGATAACAACAGAGTTATAGTTTGGGAGCTTACGTTTTTTTTCTTGTTAACTAGCCTAACGCGAGGCAGCTAGTACTAGCTGCTATAGTAACCAACGTCAGGTTAGACCTTTCTTATATTCACAAAGTTAATGTCAG